ATAGTTCTTTTGCTCAAAATATGTTTTTTAGTTGCTACCACTCAAAAAAGGTTTCAAAAGAATCTTTAAGATTGTATTCCATTCAAGTTTCCCAAGGTATTTGTAATTATATTTTGACAAAATGCAACTATTGCAAACATTTTAAAGCAATGCAATTTAGCTGCTTGTTTTTCCATGTGATAGGTCACTTTTGATTCACTTCATTTGTTGATTTGAACATAAATTGGTAAGGTTTGCAGTGAAACTCTGGGTTTCTCAGGGCTGTTCTGAAGTGTAGGATGTCAAAAGAGACAGTGTAAAATGATGTTTATCCTCTACATATTCTCTATTAACGTCTTTATAGACTCTCAGAATATAGTTTAAATTTAGCTTAATATTTATTTTGTGCTAAAATCTTTAAAATAATTTCAGGTCTGAGACAAGAAGGAGGGGATACAAAGTTAAATGTTTTCAACTGTTCTGAAAGTTTAAAAGTCTGGAGAACAAGTGTACATCTCCGAGCAAAAGCTGAGATATTCTGGACCTGATAAAACAAAAACAAAACAAACAAACAAAAAAATGCAGGTGAATCTAACAAATTCTGGATCACTTTTGAAAAGTATCAGTATGCAGCTACTGACAGGAACCCCATACATCAGTGTTCTTTTCTAAAGCCCAATAATAAGATAGATCATTTGCAACAATTCAAGCTGATAAAAGGCCGTTTTGACGTATCAACTGTTTTAATAAATATAAAATATATAAAACTAAAAATGCAATGTGAAAGCTGTTGCCAATTCATGATTAGGCTGTCAATGTCAAAGTCAATTTTATATATTAGAGCACATTTAAAAACAAGAATGTAAATCAAAGTGCTTCACAAACAAGAGATGCAACAATAAAACAGGTGAAAAAATAAACAAATAAGTGTAATAAAAAAATTTAAGAACAAAACTAAAACAAGAAATAAAACAGAAAATTCCTGATGGAACACAACCCAACTTTTAATCAAAAGCCAGTGTAAATAATTTTTAGTGTTTAGGCAGGATTTAAAAAACAGTACTGATAGCAGAACAAATATCAATGGGCCAAGTGTCATGGTGTTCCAAACTTTAAAAGTAATTTAAAAAAAATCTTAAAATCAATATGAAAACAAACAGGCAGCCAGTTTAAGTCAGCTAAAACAGGAGTGATGTGGACATAATTTCTGCTCATGGCATAGGCAGTAAAGGCAAATGCTGAGGAGCCCATCCATCTAGGCACTACAAATGAAGGGGAAAAAAATCAATTTCATAACTTTTTAGTTTATTCCGTCTGTAAAATAATCACTCAGTCAGGTTTAAGAAGGTAACTTGTTCTGTGGGTTTCTCAGCTGTTTTGTTACTACTACTTACTTAGGGTGCAGAAGACATTTTGTAATAAATGTATGAAATGATGCAGTCAAGACTAACTACTGGTGCTCAGTGTGTAAACAGAAAACAAAATAAAGACCAAAACTGGAAAAAAAAATTCATTTATGATCTCAGTTAAGGTTCAGGTTAAAGTCTGGTTTTCAGTGATTTTATGAAGGTAGAAGATCGCGGATACAAGCAATTGTTGAAATGAGTTTCCTCTGCAGGGTGTCTGAGAAGCTCAGTCATCCAGGAGGGACTCAGCCGCTGCTCCTCCACGTCGAGGGGAGCCAGTTGAGGTGGTTCATCTAGTTAGGATGCCTCCTGGACGCCTCCCTGGTGAGGTGTTCCGGGCATGTCCCACTGGGAGGAGGCCCAGGGGAAGACCCAGGACACGTTGGAGGGACTATGTTTCTCAGCTGGCCTGGAAACGCCTTGGGATTCCCCCAGATGAGCTGGTCCAAGTGGCTGAGGAGAGGGAAGTCTGGGTCTCTCTGCTTAGGCTGCTGCCTCCGTGAACTGACCCTGGATAAGAAGAAGAAAACGGACAGACGGACATAATCCCAAGAATTTAGTATCATGCTCTTAAAGTGACTGGAAAATGCAGAGTTTTTTATTAGATCTTTTTGGAGGAGTATACCTCTGGAACACTTCCCCCCCACACACAGACACACACACACGTTTGTTCTTGAACCCCGTGGGGACCTTCCATTGACTTCCATTCATTTTTTTAGACTTTATATCCTAACCCTGACAATATACACTAAAATTAACCTCCCAGGTATCTATCTTCCTGACCCTAAAACTAACCTAAACCTTGGTCCTAAACCTAACCCCACACCTGTAGTTTGCATTTGGACCCGTGGGGACCTGGCATTGGTCCCAACAATTCACTTCGGTCCCCACAAGGCTGCTTTTTTTGGGGGGGAGGGGAAAATTGTCCCCACGTTGTAGAAAAAAACCCCCCCCCCCCCCCCCCCCCCCCCCACACACACACACAGAACCACTTCACTCCACAGCTGCTCGTTAGCATGAACAGGTGTTCCTCGTTGCTGTCAGCAGATGTTGGCAGGGGCAGGTATGACGTAGACTGCTGGTGTTCTGTTCCAAATGAATTGTTAACTGTTTTCATTGGACAACCTGATTTCTAACGATAAAAAAATAATATCAAAGACAAAACTATTTAATTTGCTTTCTGAATGGAAATAAATTGGTGTGAGATTTAGAAATCTGCACAAAGCGGCGCCACCTGAAATGTTGCCCAGGGCACCAAATTGGCTATAGGGCCGGCCCTGCTGTGCTTCCTGTTAAAAAAAAAACGACGGTGGATCACCATGGTTGGCACACACTTATGTCTGAAAGTGTCTGACAGTAGTCTGAATGAGACAGGCAGACAGAGAATGGAGACCGTCACTGAATAAAAATCCTGAACTGGAAGTTTTTGGTTGTAACACATCAGGTAGGAGTACTCAAAGCATGTATCAAGTTTAAAATTTGGCCTCCTTTTTTCTAGTTTTTCCAATTTTTTGTATTTTTTTTATTATTATTTTTTTTTTGCTTGAAGAAAATATTATTATTATGTCCTCTGCCAGATCTGATGAGCTTGAAATATTCTGGACCCTTCTCTCTAGACCCCCCACTCCGAGCCGCTCTGACAGCCCCTTCCCCTCCCCGCCTGTATCTAAAGCCATTATCTCCCAGTTTGTTTGAAGAGACCAAACCAGCGCTCATCCCCATGAACCCGGAGATAAAAGCCTTTAGCCTGGGGCCCTGAATACCAGCAGCCCGTGTGAACTGCTGGGTGACTGGGGTGTAATTTCAGCATCAGCTTGTCGCATTCAGGGCCAGAGGTTAGACAAGCTGCGACCTGGAGCCCCGAGAGGCGACGCCAAAGAGAATGAGCTGACTTGTGTGTGTTTGTGTGGCTTGATTGAGGAGACAAGGAGCTGATTGTGTCCGTATGAGCAATGGCATGCTGTCATTAGCAGAGACTCCTGACAGAGGAGGATGGTTAGTCTCAGAAATGAGTGTGTGTGAGAGAGAGGCAGTGTGGTTTCAGTGTCACCGCCGTGATTAGAGAGGAAGGTTTCAATAAAAGACCATCAGGAGCCTGGAGTGCAGAGCTCAGGGAGTTAGTTTCCAGCTTGATTAAAAGACACAAGACAAAATGAGCTGTAATAGGAAGCAAACTCTGTGCAATTTCTCACTTTTATAAACTTACAAATGCACATTTAGCACCAAATAAAAAGGCAAAATAGTCAAATACGGGGTGTAGTTTGGAGTGTGAAAGGCCCTCATCACCTGTCAACGATAACACTTCAAAACATTTATCTGAGCAGAAATAACAGCGTTTTAGAGCTCATCCCAGGACAATCTGTCAGTGTTTGGAGCAAAAATAGCCGTCGTCATCCTTCCTGTTCCAACCTGATGTGGTGCCTAAAGTTCCCTTTCAGCTTCGGCTGCACGCCTCCACCCGTCTCTGACATGATTTAAAATTATTTGAAGTTGTGGAGGAGTTTAGTTTCTTTATCATCAGCTCTGCCCAAAGGTTTTACAGGTTTATGTATTCATGCAGCTAATTTGTAAGTTGGCAAAACATCCCAAACGAAACACACGTGTGAAACAGAAAAATGGCAAGATTTCAACAAGTGTGCAAAAAGTTTCAAGTGACATGATCCAGCTAACATGTTCCGAATCACCAGATGATGTTTTTATGTCTGTAAAACTGTCATTATGTAGATTCAGCTAAAGTGAGAACAAATTTTGCTCCATTTTAAACTGGTTCTTTGCCAAGTTGTCTGCTCTGCGTTGAAAACACTCGTTCACTGAGCTCAGGAGCCTTTTTATGCCTGAATTATTCACAGGTCAGAGTTCAGCAGCTTAAAAACATTCCTTTGAAAACAAACTGGAAAAAAGGAATGGAAGAAGCAGCCACAGTCCTACAGCAAAACTCCAGAAAACCTGAAGCAACATTTATCAAAACTACAAGACAAGTCTTCAGAATCAAAGAATCAAGGCTTTTGTGTCTTTTTGTGCAACAATTCTCCATCCGGTGAGAGACCACCACAGGATGTACCAGGAAAAGATTTCAGAAGAACCAAAAGGAAGATTTAATGTAGAAATTAAGAGGAAACAAAGTGAGCCATTAAGTTAAAAATAAAATAAAATATAAAATAATAAAAACACTTTGTTTAGTGGAGATGGCTCCCCCCCCCCCCCCTTTTTTTGTAACACAAGGCACTCAAAATTTTAAAGGGCATTTTTCTAAAAACTAATTTCAGCCAACAGGATTTACTCTTCAGTGTCACTGTCTGAATGCATTTTCATTTTGATCATGTCGCTCCAACCCTGCAGAGGTGTTTCACTAGCAGAGGGTGACCTTCACAGAACGTAATGAGACAAGAGGATGCTCTGCTCGGATGAAGATACCTTTTCAAAGATTTCAGGGTACACACACACACACGCCCCGGGGATGCTGAAATGCTAAACAGGGGAATCGACCCTCTGTGCTTCAGGTCTTTGAATCTTTCACCTTTTAAATGGAAAGCAGCTCCAGTTAATTCTGCTTTATGCACACCGACTTAAATTCTTCAAAAAGAAGAAAAAAAGGATTTCCATTCAATTCAAAACTGTAATTTTGATGATCTTTATTAATTTTTCATCTGGAAAATGCAAAGGCCAAACATAAAGACAGTGTTAAAAACAATATTGGAATACAAAATACATTTTTAAGTCAAGAAATGAATCCACAATAACCACAAAAAATAAAACAATGTGAATTTGATAAGTTGGAGAAAAGCAGAACTGAGATGAGAAATAAAGTCAGTCATTCAGGTTGAACCTTACAATAAAGCACATGAAGCTGTTAATGTCTGCTTATAAACTGTAAATATGAGTGTTTGACACAAACATCCATCTGTGACCTCTCAGCAGGACTGCTGTCCCCCCTCATGCATTTTTAAAGCCCCCCCAATCAATATTCATTGTTATCTAAACTAACACTGTATAATATTGCACAAGCCCAAAATTCATAATTCATGGGATGAAAAGGTTTAGAATGTGAGGGGGGAGGGGGACGCAGATGAGGCAGGTCACGTCAGGTTTGGTGAAACCGTAAAAAATCCAATTTATGTGGTTCCTCTGTTAGTCTTATGGGGTTGGGGGCAGCTTTGAACCGGAGAAATAATGCTGCACCCATAAGAATATAAAATATTAATAAATTATCTGCTGCAAACATTAACATCCACATATACCAGCAGACCCCACAAATATACAGGTTATATATATTTATGAACAAAAATGTAAAGAATTCACCCAGTCTGGGAGAGTTTTTATTATTTTACCTGAACATTTACATCAGAATATTTTTACTGGTCATTTTATAAAACAAGTAATACAATTAAACGTTTCCTTCTGGAGTTTCATTCTTACAAAATCTTAAAAACACAAAACAAAGTGCCATAAAAATGTGAAACTGAACACAAACTAGAAGCACAGCGAGGGTTAGTGAAAGATTAGCATTCAGTAGAACTCTACACAGCGCTTGGACCTGAGACCAGAACATCCATCAGTCTGTAGAAACCTACAGCAGAAGCAACGTCTCAATATAAAATATGTTTCGCTGAATATTACTGGCTGTTTGCAATAAACCAAAAACATTTGTTATCTAAACATCCTGTAAAAGCCAAAACCACCAGCTCACCATGACTTAAACTGAACAAATGACAAATTAAGTTTATATTCCAAATAAAACAAAAATTATGTAACATTTTCAACTAGGAGTTTTTAATTTTAGTATTTGAAAGCAGCAGTTTTGTCTCTCATCTGCCATTTACTCAAAAACAAATAAAATGCTGCATTTTTTTTATCCAATCACTTTTTTTTGTATTTTGTTTACAGTTCTGTTCAGATTAGTCTCCATGGACATGTCTGCTAAACCGAAACACCGACATGCTTTGTTGATTATGATCGATAAAACAATGTTCCACCTTTGTGTACAGTCAGCATCACTGGAGCTTTCACTAAATTCTTCTGAAAATAAACCCACAGACATGCATTTCTGAGGATGTGTTGGCACAAGAGAAGTAAAACTTTACATAAGCACTGACATATTTTAGTAGAAATTACTTTATACATTTTCTATTGTCATCTACTCTGATTACACATTGGATGGTGAAGAATAGAGAACAAATTGACCTTTCAGTCCAAACAAATACAGGTAAATGCAGAGAACGTTTTAGCGCACAGGCTGAGAAACCTTGAGCTGATTCAGAGTTTCCTCTAAGTAAAGAAAACCCTTTAACTATTTACAATTTTGAAAACAAATTTTCTGTCCCGCAACTGAAGCACAGCAAACATGTTCAGATCTGAGAAGTCAAAGTTCAGGTGATCTGCTAAAATACCTAAAAGATGGATCAACTTCTGGGAAAAGAAAAACTATTTTCTATGGTCTGTATGAGTTCAGAGATGGAGTGGTGGGATAAAAAAGGTCAACAGCTGAGGGTCCTGGAGGTTCAGTGTTCAGGTAGAATTGATCAAAGATCAGAGTTCAAGCAGCACAACTCCAGCAGCATCGTCACCTCTGACTTCTCATACAGGAATGAAAGAATCAATACTTTGAATTTAGCAAAAAGATATGAAGACAGGTCAGGAAGTAAAAGGAAAGTGAGCTCCGATAACTAGTGCTTTCAGTGGTAGTGAGTAACAACCACCTCTGACCAGCCAGGTTGTTGGTGGTGTGCTACACTGTTGTTTGCTGCCCCCTAGGGCTGAGAGCAAGGCAGTGCAGGTGTGGCTCAGGAGAGGGAGGAGAGGAGAGGAGGGTAGAGAGTAAAGGAGGTGGGTTTTGGGTGGCACTACTCATTACAGCCCAGAAGGTCCATTCGAAGGGTGATGCGCTCGTGCCACTCCCACGGCAGGAAGCGGACGTATCTGCTGTAGAGCGGGGGCTCGAACAGGTTCTTCTTGTGAACGTTGTTGTCGCTGTTACCTGGGAAGATCTGGACAAAAGGAGGAAGGAAACCAATGAAAAACCATCAGAGCATTTCTACAGCTAAAGAAACCCAAAGTCGGTAAACTATGTTGCACTCCTAAAAACTGGAACATCAGGGGGACATTTACAGATGAGGCTAGTTTCAGACACCATTTGTGTGAAGACAGCCAACACAACAGAGGAGAAAAATTACTTTCAAAATCTGATAAGATTTGAGATATAGAAGATCATTCATATAATGTATAGACCTCACAAATGATCGGCCCACTAGGAACATGTACTGGTGGGTTAAAAAGGGTCTAGCATACCTCAGGTGAAGCAGAACAGTCAGCTCTCGCACACACTTCATAGTTCATGAAACACACATAGACCTCCTGAGAAACCTCTACCACTGGAGTGTACACTCCAATATCTGCTGTGTACCTGGAAGCAGACATTCATAAAGGAGTCAAACGGCCAAAAACTCATGGATGGAGAGAAAAGAGGAATCTCTCCGCAGAAACAACTAGAGCTTTAACTGGGACAGATTTGTGACAGTCAGGTCTCAGAGTCTACGCTGCAGAAATAGAAAAATAAAAAACTCCAACGAGAAGAAACCAGGTGTAGCGACTAGGGCTGCCACGATTACTCGATTAATAGACGACTAATCTATTAAAATAATCGATGACTAATTTAATAATCGATTAATCGTTTTTTGGGGGGTTTTCTTCTTCTTTACTTTGTTTTTCTCTCCAAACTGCTTTGACACCTTCCACTGCCACATCTGCCTTTCTGTCCTTGACACACATGCACAGTAGTGGTAACTGGGGTAGACTGTGGACGTCACAAGACATTATACAGACAGGCTCTGGTATCATGGCTACCCAGCAACGGTGCTCAAAAGTGTGGGATCATTTTAAGAAAATGAAAGAGAAACCTGTGTAATATCTGCAGAGCAGAACTTACCTTCCACAGCAATTATTTTTAGTTAGCATATAGCTAAAATCTAACGACGGTTATGCAATAGCAGCTGCATTCTGGCGCGATAAGCTCTATGTTTTATAGTCAACGTATGATCTGATTAGTCGACTAATCGAAAAAATAAATCGGTGATTAATCAGTTATAAAAATAATTGTTTGTGGCAGCCCTAGTAGTGACGCATCCCGCGGGGGGTTCCCAGGAGCTTGAAGCAGTGTGTCTCAGGGGCTAAGAAAGGTGTGTGAGAAAACAACCATGTGACCGCACGTCCACTGTTCTGCGTCACAGGAGGCATGTGGACGACTTCAAAGGTCACAACAAAATAACATGGCTTATTTTTCCTGAAGGATTCCTTTGATTTTATACTCAGTTTGACTTTTGACGAAAATATTTTAGTTTCAATTAGACTTTAGTATTAATTATCTGGAAAAAAAAATAACATCTGGAGCTTTAAATACATGAAATATTTGTTTTTCCTAACAGAAACAATTTTATTTACTGTTTAAGATGCATTTTTTGTTCTATAATTTATTAACCTACTGATGCTTTTCATTATTGTTTTGATGTTTGTTTTCTGTTCTGTTGGACCCACCCTGTCTGTTCCTGTGGTCTCATCCTTCACTATAGTCCAGGTCTTTCCATCATTACTGAGGGCAACTTTGAAAGCTGTGACAAACTGAATGCAGCCAAAGTCTTTCGCCCCCTGTGTAACGATTCCTGTTATCTTCTTAGAAGACAGCAGGTCCACCTAAAAACAGACAACACAAGTTCCTATTACAGGATGTATCAGATTAAAAACCTGAAGCGTCAGGCCTGTCCTGGCTCTCACCTGCAGCCATTCAGAGCGGCTGTTGGTGGCGGCGGTCCAGGCGTTGGTCTTTCCTTGTTTGTCCAGCCGAGCGTAGTGTGGGTGCCAGGTGAAGGCCTCGAGCCCCCAAGTGCGGAAGGTGCTGGAGGCGGTGATCTGGCGGTCCAACACCAACCTGGACTTCATGCCCAACGGTTCTGAACAACCTGAAGTGTTTGAATACACTGTGGAGGTGAGACCCGGAACAGAAGAGGAGCCGGAGACAGAGAAAGAGCGTGATAGACGAGAGGCGAACGGGAAGCAGCCAAAGCCAGATGATGTGAAGCAGCAAAACAAGCAGGTGACAATCACAACAGGGAACACGAGAAGCAGAAGCAGTCGACTAAAACATGAAAAACTGATCTTTGTTGCTATTATTCAGGATTATCAGAATGTAAACTCAAACTACAACAAATTAAGGAGCTCACAATAACATTTTGAAAGACATTAGTCAAGAAGTTGAACATGCAGCATGAAATACATTTGGCTAAAGTAGCCGTACAAGACTGCAACAAAGGATTTAAATATGATAGAGCATTTCTATTCAAGTAAACATATTTAGGCAATAAAACCTTTAAACAAAGCCATCAAACCAAGCACAAAATAGAACAGAGGAAAAAACATTGATCTGACAAATGAGATGACCATTAACACATTGCAATAAGTTTTACAAAAGCACACTGCTGTATGAGAAAAGGAAAGACTTATGGAAAACTGCTGCAGTAAACCACCATTAGAAATAAGATCAATATTTTCTATGCTGTAAACGTTTCCTGACCCATTTTAATTCTCATGTGCTGGAATAAATGTAATCATATGGTTTGTCATAAATCAGCTGTGTTTTTCCCTCCATCTGGCAGCGCTTCAGTGAAAATAAATTTAGCATAAAAACCTTTATTTCTGTGATGCGAATGACTTAAAAAACCAGATGTGTGTTTGCATGTACGCTCAGCGTGTGCAACAGTTTACCGTTGAGTTCACAGCCCACCAGTTCCATGCGTAAGGTGCAGGCTTTGCGACACACCACAGGAATGATGCGGATGTACTGGGCAATGATTGGGGGGTCAAACAAGTTGGTCTTGGTGCTGTCATTGTCCACGTTCCCAACAAACACCTGTTAAAGAGGAGGAGCTAGTAAACTGCAGTGCACTTCTTTTGGCCAGCAGTATTGAGTTTACATTAAATGCATGTAGCTGAATGCAATGCCTGCTTTTTCTAGTGAGGTATGTTCATGTTATAACTGACTGAATGCATCAGTGTATCTGGGCAAACATTTGTTTGGTTCAGTTCATCCCTACCTGGTCTTTTCTCTGTCCCTCTGTTCTGTACATGGTGTAGGTTTTGCCGTCCAAGCTGGAGGCCACTTTGAAGGCCTTAATGAACTCTGCGGTGCCCATACGACTGGCACCCTGGGTGACGATGCCTGAGAAGCGCATCTTTCTTTGCATATTAATCTGTAAATGTGAAAACAGAAAAAAGATAAGCCACTCACTTTTTACAGCAAATATGTCAATAGTTTTACTAATCAAGCTGTCAAAGTTAAAATCACTGAACACAATGTCTTCCTAAAGGAGTAAAATAAATAAACACAGTCAACCCAACAAGTTTTTTAGCTGCTGAACTACATCACTGTACTCACCTCTATCCATGGGTTCTTGTCATGTGCAGCTGCACTCCAGGCGTTGACCAGCCCTTTGTTGTGGAGGCGTGCCAGCTCAGGCCCCCAGCGCTGCAGACCCAGCAGACTGTAGCGGACTGACGAGGACACGATCTGGGACTCAGCGATGCCCCCTCCCTCCATGCCGAGCAAAGAGATGCAGCCTGCGGAGGAAAGACGATGGGTAAATTTAGATTCCATCATCTCCAGTAGATGAGATTGACAATTCTGAAATAGTAATGATTGATGAACATATTTAAAAAAATTAAAAAAGGAAAAATAGAAATAAACCCATTACACATTTCAGTGTTTTCTCAAAACCTTTTTGATAATTGATGAGAAAAAAAATAAATAACAATTCAGGCAGAGTGTGTTGCTGAAGAAAGGCCATAAAATGATTACAGATTCAGAGTAATGAATCAGTTTAATTGAATAATAAACTGATTTCTTAAAAGAAGCTCTTCATTCAGCCCATTGTTCATCCCAAAGTCTGCTGGCCATCATCCAAACTCCATCTTTAATGTTTTCCTTCCTCCAAAAGCACAGACTTACTCAGGCCTTCTTTTAGTTGTAGAACAAAATTAATGCGATAGTCATACATACGCAGTTGGCAATGTTTGCCCACATAAGGCGAAGGACAGTGGCATTTGAAGTCTCCGTCCAGGTCCCTGCAGATACCACCATTCTCACATGGCTGCGCGGCACAGTCATTTACATCTGCAGAGAAATTAATCAGTTATAATTTTTAATTAATTATGTCCATTTAAAAAGATTACAGTAAACTCTAAAGCACGACATGCATTTCTAAAAAGACTGGAGCTGAAGTAGAAGGAAAGTTGCATAAATATTAGTGAATTAATGTAAAGAACCAGCTGGAGCAGGAAAACTGCGTAGTCATGCTGCCAATTAGATAAACTTTTAAAGAGTACTTTAAAAACAGAAAGGACAGGTATGTGGAATGTATTGTGTTTTAATGCTTGTGATTTAATCTGCCACCTCTTAACGCCCTTACCAGTCCAAAACTTACAGCTGATGTGCCAAAGATGAAAATAATTTACAAAACCTGCCAATGTAACAGAACTAGCTATGAACATACACTAGATTGATATTTAGAAAGATTTTATTTGTAGTACAACAGACTTCACACAAGGAGTTATTTTAAAATTATTAAAAATTCAAACCATTAGTAATAATTAAATGAAATTAACTAGGCACAAAGATCACATCAACACAGAGTTCCACCTCACTGCCAACATGCTCCTTCAATAATATTAGTCCAAATAGTTATTTTCACTCTGTTATGTAGAAGGAAAATATAGTCATTTGGAAATGTGCAGCTCTGAGCTGTGGAGAACAGCCTGCTGTCATGAATCTGGTGATACTGGGATCCCATGGTTAATCCCACAAAATGCAGGCAGCTGAAGTTTTACAGCATGAAGCAGCAGCTTCATGTTGTGAAGTATCACTGATCTGAAATGTGCCAGAGGAGGGCACCTTCAGGCTATACAAGAATTAACCACCACTACCACTACTACTACTAAACAAACAACTATAGCAAGAAAACAGTGAGTTGGATAAAATCACTTCTAATTTAACGTATTACAACATGTGGTTTTTACCATTTTTAGACAGCTTCATTCTACCCAAAATTATTTTCTGTAGGTGTAAATATTAGTTTGCAGGCATTTAATTTATGTTGCAGTGCAAAAGTTTGAGAATTGTTGGTTTTTCAAGCTCCTATATTTTAGAGTCCTTTGGTTAAAAGTGGAAAACGAAATTTCAAAATGCTCACTTCCAAAGGGAGTGGTTTATGGTACAGGTGCTGGTCATAAAATTAGAATATCATGAAAAAGTAGATTTATTTCAAAAATTCCATTTAAAAAGTGAAACTTGTATATTATATTCATACATTACATACAAACTCATATATTTCAAATGTTTATTTCGTTTAATTTTGATGATTACAAATGACAACAAATGAAAATCTCAAATTCATCAAATCAGAAAATTAGAATCTTGTGAAAAGGTTCAAAATGGATGGCACCTGGTACCACACTCTAATCAGCTAATTAACTCAAACCACCTGCAAAGGCCTTTAAATGGTCTTTCAGTCTAGTTCTATAGGCTACACAATCATGGGGAAGACTGCTGACTTGACAGTTGTCCAAAAGACGACCATCGACACCTTGCACAAGGAGGGCAAGACACAAAAGGTCATCGCTAAAGAGGCTGGCTGTTCACAGAGCTCTGTGTCCAAGCACATTAATAGAGAGGCGAAGGGAAGGAAAAGATGTGGTCGAAAAAAATGTACAAGCAAGAGAGATAACCGCACCCTGGAGAGGATTGTGAAACAAACCCCATTCAAAAATGTGGGAGAGATTCACAAAGACTGGACTGCAGCTGGAGTGAGTGCTTCAAGAACCACCACACACAGRCGTATGAAAGACATGGGTTTCTGCTGTCGCATTCCTTGTGTCAAGCCACTCTTGAACCACAGACAGCGTCAGAAGCGTCTTGCCTGGGCTACAGAGAAACAGGACTGGACTGCTGGTGAGTGGTCCAAAGTCATGTTCTCTGATGAAAGTAAATTTTGCATTTCCTTTGGAAATCAAGGTCCCAGAGTCTGGAGGAAAAGAAGAGAGGCACTTCTTCCACGTTGCTTGAAGTCCAGTGTAAAGTTTCCACAGTCAGTGATGGTTTGGGGTGCCATGTCATCTGCTGGTGTTGGTCCATTGTGTTTTCTGAGGTCCAGGGTCAACGTAGCCACATACCAGGAAGTTTTAGAGCACTTCATGCTTCCTGCTGCTGACCAACTTTTTGGAGATGCAGATTTCATTTTCCAACAGGACTTGGCACCTGCACACAGTGCCAAAGCTACCAGTACCTGGTTGAAGGACCATGGTATCCCTGTTCTTAATTGGCCAGCAAACTCTCCTGACCTTAACCCCATAGAAAATCTATGGGGTATTGTGAAGAAGAAGATGCAATACACCAGACCCAACAATTCAGAAGAGCTAAAAGCCACTATTAGAGCAACCTGGGCTATCATAACACCTGAGCAGTGCCACAGACTGATCGACTCCATGCCACGCCGCATTGCTGCAGTAATACAGGCCAAAGGAGCCCCAACTAAATACTGAGTGCTGTACATGCTCATACTTTTCATGTTCATACTTTTCAGTTGGCCAACATTTCTATAAATCCTTTGTTTTTATTGGTCTTCAGTAATATTCTAATTTTCTGATACGCTGAATTTGAGATTTTCATTTGTTGTCATTTGTAATCATCAAAATTAAACGAAATAAACATTTGAAATATATGAGTTTGTATGTAATGTATGAATATAATATACAAGTTTCACTTTTTAAATGGAATTACTGAAATAAATCTACTTTTTCATGATATTCTAATTTTATGACCAGCACCTGTATATCTTAAATAAAAAATAAAATACCCCACAACCCAGAAATCTACATTAGTGATTAACAATAGACTGTGAAAGTCCTGAGGAGAGCCAGCTGGTGGCATTCTCTTCTCTAATAGGATTGAGCATCTAGTCTACATCGTCAGCTCCACCACCTAATCCTTTTATCATGTTGGATAGTTACATCACAGGACTTTCATAAATGAAATAAGGTCAAATATAGTTTGCAGATTAACTAGCTATCTGCTTTCACTTTTTTTTTTTGGGGGGGGGGGATTACTACAACACATTGTGTGATTACACACATATTTGGGAGAACTACACACACATACGTTAACAGTCAAGAAATCCAACACAATGTTACAATCTAAACATGCTTGAAACCTGAACCTAATCAATGCAAAGCTCAGGTGAGCTGACAGCAAACGTAGCGATGTGCATCCAGAATCTGGACCGGCACCTCAACCTGCTTTATGTTCCTGTCCCAACAAAGACTGTGGAGTTTTATTGCATCTTTGAGACCTGGACTCAGAAGATGCATAAAATTAAAAAGTCAGTAAAACATCTATGACCATTACAGTGTTCTCAAAGATAAGGCTGAAAAAATAAACACCACAAGTTTCCAGAGATGTAAAGTAACTAAGTACATTTACTTTGTTACAGTACTCAACTTTGAGGACTTGTAGTTTTGCAAATCGTTTGTTTTAATCAGGTTTTTTGTTACATTTAAAAAACAGATGACACTTTAGTTACATTACAAATTTAAATATGACCGAACTCATCATGAACAGAGTTGTTTATGCATGCTAAAAAATAAAAGTATCGAATTTACTCCAAGTTATGTGAACTGGTTTCACTAAAGCATGTTGAGCAAACGTAAAGCAGTTTACTCAATTCAGTTTACTGGAACCAGTTTGGTTAAGTAAATTCAACACTTCCATTTCCTCGAGCGTGTGTAAAAGTACTTTTGTTTTTCAGATTATTGTGTGCAGTTTTATCACTTTTAGGAACTTTTCTTATCAGTGAAATTATTTTCACTGAAGTAGTTTTCTGTTAAAGTATGTTTAGTAATCTTTCATTTACTTTATAAACCTCTGCAAGTTTCCAGCTGCGTCAGGATCTGTGCACTGTGGACGGGACAGGCTGCAGCACACCAGGAGGTGTCAGCAGAACCTAAAATAACTGGTTGACTTTTACAAGGCTCTCAGATTAAACTTCTGATCACATGGTAGCATTTTTAATCCAGTGCTATTTAGAGCAGAAATTGACAGCTTGCATATTAAAACTGTTATGAGCAGATTTTATAAATGCTTTGATATCTTGGTGCACTTTTGAGTTTTTACCATCACTGTGGAGATGGCAAGAATATTGACAAAGTCTATTATTTAAACGAGAATAGAAACTGTTGCCTGTAAACATTTAGCCTCTTAAAAACTTGCAGTTGTTACTTTTTGTCATGTTCTGACTTTAGAGAAAGAAAAACAAAAAAACCTATAGGAGCTTAGTAAATTTATAGTTTATTGATGGTGAAATTAAAGCACACCACCAGGAAATCCACATAAAATCCATGACAGCACATGTAAACATACAAACACAGCCTGTCCAAACTCCTTATGGGGCATGAAGCCCAGTCTGCCCACACAACCACATCCTGGGAGGAGCTGAAAACTCCCAAAACAGTGACATCACTACATTCATACACGCACTATTCATTGACTTCCACAGACTAAAAATAACCGTCTTAAGCTGATCTGAAAATCTGGGATTTACAAGACTATAAGCAAGATCAGAACTCCATCTTCCCTCTGTGTTCCTTCAATCTGCTTTGGCCTGAAGTGATCAGCTGATCTTTCTCCTCCCCAACTGCAACTCCAAACATGACACGCTCCTAAAACCACTCAAAGCATTTATTTTCCCTGCCACCTGTAAAAAAGGCTTTTAAAGCTGTTTGAAGGGACACAACTGCTGCAGTCAGACCTGAGTAGCAAGTGTGACATTGTCAAGAGGGCAGACTTAATTCACCGTTCCGCCTCCATGTTCCCTTTTTCGCCCGGCAACAGAAGCGGTGCTGACGTTCTGTGGTGTTTGGCGCAGACCGCCACTTTCTGTTGGCTAGATTTGCATGGAGGGAGAACAGTGTGTGGATGTAAAAAAAAACGGTCGGCATATGAGCTCATGAGCTGTGTGTGGCCGTTTGTGGGATGCACAGCATATACACAATTTCTTTATCACAGCCCCCCAACCCGAAGATTCCACAGGGATAAAAGAATATAAAATATTTAAAATACACAATGAAAACTGGTTTTGAACGTCTTTCCCAGAACAAAAGCAAACCTTAAAAAAAGGGCTATTTGTTGTTCTCCATTTTAATCTAGCTTTAAATTGTTTTAAACCTATTTTTGGAGCGCTGTGCAAAAGCATTTCTTTAAATTTCCTCTCAAAGGAGCCCCACTTTCTAGACTGTCAAATTGTGGTATACATTTTAACTACAACTTTAAAAAAAATTTTAAAAAAAGGAAGAAATATTTACAAATTATTCTTGCAACCAATTCATCTTTGGATGATTTATTTTGCATTAATAATTTATTTTAGTGTAAACATTTGTTTGGGATCCAAAACTGGTCTGAAAACATTAAATGCATTTTATTTTAAAAAAATTATTGCTCAAGACCACCTGAAAATTAGTTTTAGCAACAAATAGACCCTACAACATGTAAACCAATGAGTAGGTCTAGTTTTTACAGCAAAGTTGTTTGTTCGAAGCTTGTTCTTGTGGAAAGTCTGTTTTACTTCTGCATCTTTGGTGTTCACGCCGACTTGTTCAGTCAATTTCATTTACGTACCAGGGGCCGTGAATATTAATAAAAATTACTATAAATTTGCCAAAGTTAGCTTTTTTGTCCGTTTAAAATATTTCCTGTCATAATTTCTGAAAAAATACATCATTTGATCTAAAGGGTCACAATTTCTAAAAGAAAAAAAAACATCTTATTTTATTCTGAAATGTCTCAATATACAGTAACTCTGAAAAAAAGAAAACACACCCCTGACTTTTTTGCCTGAGGTCTAAATATTAATGGACTGTTATTTTTAGGGGATGGGGAATTTACACTGTTAATCAAGCTGTACACTGACTACTTTGCATTGTATCAGTGTCACATCTTCAGTGTTGTCCCATAAAAATGTGAGGTGTATTCACTTGTGAGACGCTGTAAACCTTTAAATATGACAGTAGTGTGAGGACATTAGCTGAATCTGTCACTACATTACGCCTCACTGGGTTCCCCACATGTTTTTTTTAAGATTAAAAGAAAAAAACGACAACCAGATGTGTTAAGTTTCACACAAACGGCAAAAGCAATTACCACCCATCGCAAACAAGAATCCCCAGAAAGCAATTTATGTTGCAGATGCTCCCAATTTAATTTTTACCCCCTGCCAACACACACACACACTTCAGCTGTCACACAGTTTGCCTCTCTGACCCTTCAGTCCCCAGGAGGCTTCTCATAAATCAGCACCGTCAAATCAATTTCCCTCATTATGATCCCAGTCATATTATCCAATTTGTGTAAAGGCCTGCTCTGTACAAGGCTCTCTCTTTGACAGATATGCAAACATGGCTGCCAAAAGACTTGTAAAAGTAGAAGATATAATTAGCTGGGATTTCTGGCTTTGGGGGTCAACAGAAGTACAAACATAACTTTGCTGCATTTTAGCTCAAATTAGAGCGTCTGCAACATAAATTTCTCTCTGGGAACTCCATGTTGAAAAGAGATGATGATTTGGAAAATCTTCATAGGCTCAGATGACACATGTGGAGCTTGAGGCTTGCAGGACAGCAATAAATCTTTATAAAGAGTCTCTCCTATATGTGAGTTTCTGAATTCCCTCATCTGTTCATGCAGCAGAGAACAGAACTGAAGAAGACACGGCAAGACAAAGCAGACATTTATCTAGTAAGTTTCATTTCCACCATTACCTTTTTCTGAACTTAAATCTGCTCCCTGGACACCTGGGATAAAAAGGTATTTTTAATAAACACACAAAATAGATGTTTAGCAAGTACTTTGAAAGTTTAAGATAAATTCTTTATATTTTCCTTCTTTGTGCACATTATTGTGTTGCCTTCTCATGCAAACCGTTTCCATCTGTCTTTTTAAGTCAGACTTAAGGCATTAAAAGAGAGAAGCAGATGTTCTCACTGTTATTTCTACTTGTCGAGCTGACCCTGCTTGAACCAAACAGTCTGAGAGACGTACGAACGAGAACAGCAGCTGTCTGTTTGGTGGGCAGAACTCACAACAGCTGTCTGCACACTAATGTGTAAGGTTACAAAAATAAACCAGGATTTCATTATGTTAACAATGAGTTCTAATGAATGAATGAATGAATGAATAAATAAAAAAACTCATAATTTATCAGCAAGAGTGAGACAATTTGATCACCGTTGTAGTTTAAAGGAAAGGGCAGAGCTTTTTTTAATATCCTGAATCTACTTGTAGTTAAAATGGACACACTCAATTAATGCAATTGTCTATTCTTTTTAAATAAAATACCTGCACATCTGTTTAACACACACGAGATTTGGAATGCCAAAATGACCCCACTTCTATAATACATCATTTTATTTTGATCAGTCATCCATGCACTGCTGACAAATCTACTTGAAAAAAAAAAAAAGGAGCACAAACTTACTGGTCTGGCAGTGAACCCCCTCAAAACCTGTCTGGCATTTGCAGACGTACTCGCTGAAGACGTCACCTCGGCGGGTGTGGCTCATCACCTCACAGATGCCGTCATTTTCACATGGGTTCGGGCTGCATGGTCCTTTTAGAAGAGGGAAAAAAATTAAATCCTGAACAAGGATAAGCTGGAACACCAAGTTAACAGAGATAAAGCAGTTTTGCTTGCAGCCATCTTTCTGACACTTGGATTTCAGCTACACTTTGTGGCCATTTAGATTGAAGAGAACCAGACTGTGGCTTTAGAGGTACAACTCACCTGTCTCAGTTTCATTGCAGAGATCTCCTGAAAAGCCATCAGGGCAGATGCAGATGAACGGAGTTCCTGTCCCAGTCACGCAAGTTCCTCCATTGATGCACATGTTCACTGCGCAGGGATCCCCTACAAGCACAGAAACACACAATTAGGCTGTGTGACAATTAAGGTTTTAGGCTCATTTTATTTTGTCAACAGGATGAGATTTGATTTAAATCTTTAGGTCTTACAAACATTTTACTTAGGGAGAAATGGAACAGAAAAAAGTATGTTGGCTCCTGTTCCATAAATACTGTGTTTAGTTCTATTACACCACTGCCTTGTTGTGCTGCTGAATGACAAACAGCGTGCTGTAGTTTGTGTGATGGTCTGAACAGCTGAGTAAGCCCTCACAATGTTGTAAACAAACGCTGGAAGCTTCCACCAGCAGCTAACTGCAGGGTGTCATGAACCTGACAGCTCTGCTCACTAAGGACTCACGTCAAATACAGCTGAGCTGAAAAAAAGACACTGAAAGATCTCCTTAAAGACACGAGCTGAGACGATATGTGAGGTCTATGCTTTTTTTTTAAATTGTCCATTAGTTAAAAAGTAATTTATATGCAAGTTTTTAGTTTTAATGCAACAATACAATAAATCAAAACCTCTAACCCTTAGTGTCTTTAAAAGATAATACAACTTCAAATGATCTAATTACACATCACCATTATTTATTCAACAAATCTGAGCCTGAATGCTAAAACAAAAACGATTTTAAAATTTCACACTAATGATTTAACAGCCCAGACTTCATAGGTCTTTAATGCAACTGAGAAGGTTTTTTTTGTCCAAGCTTCTGTTCAGTTTTGATTTTTATTGAAGTCTGTTGACCATTTGTTTCTTTGTTTACCAGCACAGCGCTACAGTCTGGTTGAGGTCCTCTCTCCAAGTTATGACAAGACCTTGGTCATTTTCTTTTTCTGTCACTGTGACGCAGACTTACTGATGTGCTCACTGTCCTGCTGCCTGACTCAGTTTGGGTTATGGTTCAGCTGCTGGACAAGCTACTTCAGAAGCCATTCGATTGGTTGAGATAAAAAATAATTTAGGTATGAAAAGGTTTCATACGACAGAAGTTTTCTATCAGCTCTTATAAACAAAAGAAGCCATTAAATTTTTCAGTCTTTTTTCTAAATGAAATATAATGTAGTAAATTAGGCTTTTAAAAAATGCCCCCCGCCGCAATTTTCAGTTTCTTTGAGAAAAATGTTTAGATTTCTGAGAACGGTCTGACCTTGAGGTGAACTGAAGTTGACATCTGTTCTTGGGAAGCTTAGCAACTGTCCTGAATGCTTTCCATATGTGAAGAACATTTTAAATCAGCACAGAGCACCCAGCTACCCTCTTATTTCCTATCGAAAAGTAAATTTGATTGTAGTCCCCCCCCCCCCACATGATGCTGCATTTTGGTTTATCGAAAAACCACACACACACACACACACACAAGTGCAATGAATAATTTTTACTGTCATTCTGAGATTGTTTTTAACTTAAATGTTTAACCAAACGGGAATTTTTTCAAAAACCACAGCTCTACGTGTGACTACACACTTCAATTAGTCTGCAGCTTTACATAGGGCTAAACCACATGAAAAATAACATTTTTGACAATAAATTTTGCCAACTTTAATGTTTAATTATTGTCAATACATAGTCATTTTAGCACTTAGAACACTGAAGATAAACAGCCGAGTTTCCTGTAATACTCATAATTTAGATAATTGTTAAGGAAACTGAGGGTAGATTTCTGCTGTAAAATTGTTGCTTTAAACACCACATAGTCTGGCATTTTGGGTAAAATAGGCTCTTTGAATGTTCTTTGGTGCTTTAACATGGGGGGGGGGTGAGGGGGTTAATTTGCCAAATTTAAAGAGTACATAAATATTTTTAAGCATGTACAATTAAAAGATGTGTTTTTAGCTTTGTTTTGGGTAACAACTTGGGGAGGTTTCAGCCTAAAAAGGCACTTTAGAGGATGGAGAAAAAAATATTGAGCATAATTACATCTAAATCTTTTGTAGAAATTTAATTCTTCTTCAAAAACAGTAAAAATAACAGCATTGTGAGAAATGCAAGGGTTTTTAACCAAGAGTGAACAGACGGCACGTCTTCATAATCTGTTATGAGTGATTGAGAAACTCCACTTTTAGCTCCTGGTGGACAGAATTTGAGTACAATTTATGTTTTTCTTAGTAAAAACAGAACTGTATGGCACACCTGTGTTATTTTCACTAGGAAAGACAAAAAAGGAAAAAAAAGATCCTCTTTTGGCCTCCTGTCCACAAAGTGTACTTCCTATGTTATCATGTGTTATCAGCGACTTATCCAGTCTCAAGGCCCTTTGGTGCTTTCACATCCTCTGGGATTCTTAAGCAACTCTGTCTGCCTTGCACCAACGCACGCTTAGAGAAGTTGCCGCCTGTTTATCTTCAGAAAGGAACACAACCTCCTTCCAGGAAACTCCCTTTATGCCAAAAATCCAGACATTTCAGGAAGTAGCTGATAGATGTTTACATGAATTTTTTTTTCCCCAGAGAAGTTAAACTAGGTGGGTATCGGACCTTATTTAATAATCCTCATAAACATTGCTTGTGGTCTGCATTGACAGAAGGTGTAATTTAGCTGGGAGTCTGCCTGACTGGACGGAGGAAACGAAATTAGCGATGAATTAGTCGAACTTGTTCGAGATCAAACCACTGAAACCTCCACAGCAGTGCTCAAAAATCATGAGACTGTCTGGAAAAGCCACACAAAGAAAATTATATAAAAGGGGGGGGGGGGGAATAGATAAATGCATTCGCAAACCAAAATAGTGAAGTTTTGGGTTTCAATTCAACAAATTAAAACAATGTTGTGTTGTAACTGTTCCCTTTTCAGGGGAAGAAATTCTATAATTTTCCACAAGTGATATTTCAGATAAAATAACTCTTAGCTCAAAAGGTTTTTTGTTCTCATCTAGTTTCTCTTTGGTTTATTGAAAAATGTCAACATCTTTTTACACAGATACAACCAGACTTATGTGACAAAGATAATTTAGAAACTTTTGCGCATCTGCTCTTTAAGATACCATAAAATCCTTCACCTTTTGAATATTACAAAAAAAGGATAGTAAACTCTGCCCTAGAAAACAAGAAGCTTATTTTAAAATTGTAAATTTCTAGTTTTGATTTAAACCACCATGCATCCAAGCAAACCCAGAAGTAATACATGAAGACAAAATTACGTGTGTAAGGAAAAAAAATTTTCAAAAATAAAAAAGCATTAAAAATGATTTATCCATTTGGGTTTAAAGGTACAGTGCCCGTCTTGGTTCTGACCACAGAGACAGATTAGGATATGCAGTGTTCAGCTTGGCAGGAAACATCATTTTCCAGAGGGCATTGTGTTTTTTCCTCACTCCTCATGAGTCATGGTCTGTGCCTTTCCCATTTTACTTAACCCAACAATGAGACTCAAATACCAGAGCTAAAGTACAGAACAGTTAGAGCCAGCTTTACATACAGAGTCAGTCCCTGAAGAAACTCGGAAACAAAGAAGACACTAGGGTACAGCTGGAGCAAAGTTCATATTCTCAAATGTTTCAAAGTACTTCAAACACTTGAGCCTGAATAAACCAAACAGGCTCCATCTTGGCAGCTTACTGCTGAGAGTTGGGTTTGGCTTGAGTGACTATGATAAATCTTTACTGACTGAAGTGTGCAACACGTCACTGTGCACACATTTCCCTGTGAAGATCTCAGAGGTTGAGTTGACTAGAAATCTGAATCAGCACTCAGGCTCACAGACCACAACCCACACAGTAAATTTACCTCGAAAAGACACTTGAAAGATGCCTCGACAAACATTTAAACTGAGTCTATGCTGTGATTCGGCTGTCCTATTCGTGGCAGATGTGCACTTTTGACATTTTAAGAACTTTTCTGGAACAGATTTGATCCATGTCATGTGTGAAAACATCCTAAAACATACAAAACCAAGGGTGTCCAATCCTGTCATCGAGGGCCACCATCCTGCATGTTTTACAGGCGTTTCTGCTGCGCCGTCTGATCTGAATGAAAGGGTTATTAACAGATTTCTGCAGAACTTGATAATTCAATCACTATCACTGAATCAGGAGTGTTGGAGCAGAGACAAGTACCTAAAAGTAGAGGCATTTGAATAGTGCCTATATTCCTGGACTACTTTCAGTTTAAAAGTTGTTCATAAACATTTAACATACTAGGGCTGTGTAACGGCAAGAATTTGATATGATGCATATCACAACACATGGGTCACAATATCATGCCATATTGCAAAAATGTAATCAAGGCCATATAGTGTTTTTTCCTCCAAAAGGTTTTAATTAAAGTAAACAAATAATTCTATATAAAAGCAGGGTTTCCCCTAATGTATTATTAAGCTGGTGGGCCGTCGAGCTAACGTTCATTTACTTGGAGCGGACGTCACCTATGGAGTATGTGCTAAAAACGGCACTCATTGAGCAGTAATGCTAAAAACTATTGCCCCTCAGCATGCCAAAAATTAAGTCATCTGTAAACTCTTTAGAGTTTAACAAAACATCCAAAAAAGGTCAAGCTGTTAAAGCAACAACTCAAACACAGAGCTCCTTCACTTTGTCTCCCTAAACGCTGCCATCTCTCACACACATGTACGTTTTGTTTTTCCATCCTCAGGGACTTCCATTCATTTACTGGTAACTTCTGTAGCCTAACCCTGACCCCTTACTCTAAACCTAACCACACCAGTACATGACCCTAAACCTAGCCTAAACTTAATTTACACCTTAAGTTTTAAACCTAACCCACCAATGTCCCCCAATAGGGAAAAGGCTTTTGTCCACATAAGGAACAGTGAGTCCTCAGACTGTGTGTGTACCAGGAAAGTTGTCAAAAATCATCCCCACCAGGTAACAAAAAAACATGCACAAACAAATGCATTTCTCATTGTTCAGTGTTCCTCTTAGGTGTGTGTGTTTCATGCTTCTTCTAACAACCATCCATGAAGCCTAAATTAAAAATCAATACATTTAAGATTTGATACGAAATGTGATATTTCAGTGTATTTTCTTACACTCCTGCAACATACTAATCAAGCCAAAGCAAAACAGAAATTTAAATAAATCTACTTCAAGTCTAATATATATGCAACAACTTGAACAATCGGCTCTTTAGGTCCTGCTCTGATAAATGCACAGGAGAGGATATAAACATTTTTTTGTTGTCTGCTAGGGATGCATGATATATCTGCATTAACATCAGTATCAACCAATGTTTGTCATTTTTTTAAGAATATCTTCCATCTGTCCGATAAGTAAAACTGGGCGATACTAATGTCCGATATTGATTTCCCACTTTTTAGCTTTGTGTTTGTTTTGGGAGGGGAGATGGTTGGTCAAGTGGTATCTGTTTCATCACGGTGTTGGTGATGCTGTGAAAGCAGGAATAACTGAAGTAGGGAGCCATGTAGGCAGTGTGGTCATTTTTATTTATTCAGTATCAAAAAAAAAGACAAGTGTATTTGTGCATGTATATAAATAATTTGTGTGTTTGTGTAAGATTGGTTGTCGGCAACAACAACGACGTTTTCATCAGTGCATCCCTAGTGTCTGCCCTAAAATGAGAAAATTTGTGATGCATTTATACATGTCTGACGCAAACAAATCAAGATAAGAAAAAAATCCTCAAACACAAACTTGCTTCCATTTTTATGTTTAAAGACCGCAGCAAGATGCTTCATTAAGGCTGCAAATGGGACAAAAAAAATCCTAAACAAAGCAAATCCTCCTTTAATCTCTAAATTCTATCGTCAGTCAGATATTTTAAAAAAATTCCAAATGTAGTGTAAAGTAGTGATGAGTGTTATGTGATACAGTGTGTGAAACATGATGGCACCAGGGATAAAAGACCAATCCTGACAGTAATGGGTCTAATACCAGGTCAGTGGAAAACGGAAAGACCGGGCTGAAAATGGCAGCTGTGTCAACAGTGAAGAAATGTTCCTGGAGAGGATAAACTGTGTAACGCATAAAGAAATCAGTGCTCATATCCTGAGTCCTGAGAGAGAAAACACTCTACTCTCTGTTTTTGTGATCTCATTGGAATATTGGGAAATATAAGCTTGCAGGCCAGGGCTGGAACTTGATGTTCCAGAAAGCCAAGAAGAGAGAGGTAGTTATGTCACCCACATGCATAACTCTCTCACGTGTCTTGTTAAAACTGTTAGGATGTCTCACACACACACACAGAGACCCCTGATGCTCATTTAGTCCGACAGCCAGCTCCTGGACAGCTAGAGTGAGTGTAGGAAGTGAGGAGAAAGGAGCCTGAATCTGAAGTGGAACAGGAAGTGGATTTCTCAAGGCCTGACTAAACACTTCCTTTGAAGACTTTTTGATAGTGAGATCAGCAGGATTTCAGCTGCAGGTGAGCTTTCTGCCATCTGTAATCACAACTCCAGAGCACAGCCATCTGCTGCTGCTCCAAAAGTCTATAAATACACACCAGAGTCACGCACTGTCAACACAACAACATCGCATTGCTCTGAAGTCCTGGAACTGAATAAGATGTTGAAATTTCCTGTGAATTATTCCCACATCGTATGCTAATAAAGCTATGGATTATATAATTTTTTAAAAAAGGTTAGTAAACATGTCTTGTGTTTGAATTCAAGAGCTGCCAAATTCCTTCTTGGCTCAGTGTTGAAGCTCAACAAGGCAGTATGTAAAATATTCAGCATAGCAGACTGGAAACTGGGACAACTGACACTTAATAAGGAGTTCCAAATTAGAGAATACTTCACACTGTAATAGAACATGGATTAAGAAAGCTGTTTGAAGTGTGAATAGTGGCAAAAAAAGAGATATCTTAAGGGATTTGGTGGGAAAGAGGACAGTAAATGCATCAGTGCTGCTGAAGAGGATTGATGAATTTCCCCTGAAGGGAAATCCCACTCAGACAGATGGTAAACATCAGATTTGATTTCATAAAAACCACATTCTTCACACTTCCACAAACTCACAAGATGGATGTCACATAAAAATAAGTGTTGCAGTGACAAACTATTCCACTAACTGAAAAAAAACCTTGTTTTAATTACATGCAACTGAAAATTAATTGATTTAATTGGCCAATTAGAAGATAACAAATCCGTTCTTTGGCTTGCCCGATATTGAATTCCTATGACATCAAAATAAAAACAGCTGTTAACAGGACATTAGTCCTTAATGGAGTTCTGTGTTTGACAACCTGAGAACAATAACTGGGTGACATGCAGAGAAAGAAAAAAAAAAAAGAGAGAGAAAAGAAAGAAATGCATCCGTTTCAACAGTCAAGTCATTTTGTAGTCATGCCATTGGTTCAGTCTTTGGCTATATTTAGCCCTGGTTCACTCCACAACACTAAGTGATCCTGTTGTGAAAAAAAAAAGAAGAAAGAAATCTCTCAGCTCCGACACAGAACACCATTTTCCACTTCTGTCCACTCAACAGCAAACAGAAAAGACAAGCAACCTACAACCTACTGAACTGAATTAAATCAGGCTAAACATCACCTCAGCTTTTTTGAAACCACTACGTAAACATTTAGCAATAAGTCTCCCTCCTCCCTCCGTTACCCCTGGCAAAACACAATGAAAATGGTCTTATTGAGCTCTTGCAAGTTCACAGTCTCAGCTCTGCTGGCAGCTGGATCCAGAAATGTGACTAATCTTCATCAGCCCCACCTATTCTCCTCAACTGTCATCTAGAAGCCTCCAGGAACAAACAAGTTGTAAGATGTTCTTATAGACGCTGTTTTTCTTTTGTTTCCACTTCAAAAGAAACAGGAAAGTAGTTTGACCGTTTTCTCATTTTCCAAAAGAGGACAAAAGTTACAGTAAATCTTTGTTTTCAAAGCAAGCACCTGAGATTAATGAAACAAGTTTAAAAAGGTGAAGCTGAATGCAACAACGGCCCGACCAAATTCAATAAAAGAATAGAGTTTAAGACATAAGGGTTGTAGCTTTAAAACTTAAAAGCCTAGCTTTTACCTGCAGCCTTTCATGCCAGGGTTTTAAACTAAGATCTTATGAGAAGGGACAGAGTTATAGCCGTTTAGCTGCTACCACAGCAAATTTCAGCTCAGTATAGCTGTAAAACAGGCTTAATTATAGACATTTGTGTGTTTAAGGTTGATTGTGGCAACCGTCTTGAATTGAATTAAATACATAAGTTCTTCAGTTGTAGATGTATATCCAAGGATCACATTTTAAATGTTTTATGAAATTACATCCAGTTCATTAGATGCTTTGATGACACAAAGCAAACTGTCTGTCTCCTGCAGCAGGCCATCCATACAATATGCTTTTATCCTTAGGAAAAACCTGCCACAAGTTGATATCTGGGAAGAAACGCACGTTATAAACTTTCTCCACTTGTCAACATGAAGAAAAAATGAAGTATTTTGCATTTGAACAACCTATGATGTGATTTCCTTTCCTTTTAGTGTACAGAGTGCAGAGATGGAGAAAACAGCAGTCAGCCCGTTTTATCTGTTCTGGTTTGGCCTAAATGTTTTCAATGCATGGACATGCAAACAAAGCCAGTTGCCAGGGGCATTAGGTTAACATCAAAATAAAACAGCCAGCGTCCTTATTTTGTCCAATCTCCTAAAAAGGGGGTCAGTGCGCACAAAACGGCCTTGAGGAACTGATTCTGTTATCAAATTCTGATAGAGGACTGTCAATAAAGCCTGAAAATTTAAAAAAAAAAATAGAATAGTTTTGTCAAAATGTTTGGAACTTGGTATAATCTGCAGGGACTGGGACATGAGCTGATCCAGCCTCCCCCTTTTGTTGCTCCAGTCTCTATTGAACTTGTGCACCTTCTTCACCTTCGCTCCGTCACTTCGGTGATAAACTGACGAGGCTGAGACTCGTCAAATACCACAAACCGATAATAAATGACTCATGGAGGCGTAAATAAGTTAACAAGTTGGTTTGAGAGGAAATAATGAAGTCAGAGGGATTAAACTTCAGAGAGCCGCGTCCATCACTCAACTGCAACAACAACTGAACTGGACATTAATGGTGATTTAACTGCTCACAAACAGGAAAAACAACACAGAAGCGACTTACCTTTCACCGCAAACACCAGGTAAGCTGTGAAAAGTTGAAGCCAGAAGAGAAAACACCTCTGCGCCTCCATTTCTGCTGTTTTTCACAGTCGGACAGAAGCTACAGTTTGTAGAGACAACACAGTTTAACCACCAACACAGCACACTGTATGTTGCTGTGAAGAGAGCACGAGCTCTTTATAAACTCCCAGCCTGCAGGAAGGAGCACGTGCGCATCAGCCTTCAGCCAATAGCGTGATGTTGTTTAATTGTAACCCCGCCCACTTTCCCCCAGTTTGTTTTTTTTTACTGCTGAGAACAATAAATCACCCTAAAATCATGCTTTTAGACAAATGAGTTGTATTACTCGTGTTGCTGTAGCTTAAATTAACATCTCAGGAGTTTTATATTTGCTCTCAATTATGTAAATTACCATAACATTTAAAATCTATGGTTCATTGACAACAATAAAGTATAATACTCATTATCCTCCAAATGACTGGTGATGATATGAAGTCAGTTGTTGACAACTTTCCCAACAGGATGATCTTAGGATCCAGTAGTGTCAAGTTTGCATGTAATCAACAAATAAGATAAAATTATATTAACTAAAAAAAATTGCACTTGCTGCAATTCAGTGTGAATGTTTGCTGAATGTGCTGAACAAACTAAAACTGAGTTGCTAAAAAAAGCCAAAAAAGGCCAAACAATAACTAAAAGCCAAAAGAAGCAAACTGCTAGTTTAAAATAATAATACTTGCTAGAGCTAAAAATAGCAAAAGACTAGCTAGAAACTACCAGTAGCAAAATATAAAAATAACATTGGGCTAGTTAAAAGCTAAAAATAGCAAAAGCCTAGCTAAATACTGAAAGTAACAAAAGGCTAACTTAATGGTAAAAGTAGCAAAGAGCTACCAAAAAAGCTAAAAATAGCAAAAGGCAAACTATAGCCAAAAGTACCGGAAGATTAATCCAAAGCTAAATGTAGCAGAAGGCGATGTAAAAGCTTTAAAAATAATCTATCCAGAAGCTAAAAGTAGGAACGATTGTAAAAAGTCTATCTAATAACAAAATGGTCAAAACCTAAACAAAGAATGAAAGCTAAATACTAAAAGGACATTGGCTAAGAGTTAGAAAAAGCAAACAACAAGATAGAAGTTAAAATTAATAAAGACTGCCAGAAAATAAGCAATAGGTTAACTAAAACCCACAAAAGTAACAAACCAATAGCTAAAAACTAAAAGAAGCAAAGTGCTAACTAAGGGTAAAGTAGCAAAAAGGTGAACTAAAATAAAAAAAATCACAAAAGGCTAAAACTAAAATCTTAAAATAGCTATGTTTAGCTACAAGTTAAAATTAACTAAAAGCTTGCTGGATGCCAAAGCAAAGGCATGGTAAATGAAAACTAACAAAAGGCTAAATAATATTACTTCAAAAACTTCAAAAAGTTAGCAGAAAAGTGGCTAAAATTAAAACAATAAAACATTAGCTAGTAGTAGCTAAAAATAACAAAGGATGGCCAAAAGAAAAGTAGTAAACATGCTAAAACAAACAAAAAGAATGTAGCAGGAAAATAGCTAAAAGCTAAAGGAAGCAAAAGGTAGCCCTTGATAGCTGAACTGTTCAATCGGTGGTCCCATCTGACCACAGCACCTTTTTCCACAAGTCTGTTTGCCTTACTTTGATCTTTGAGCAGTGGCTCCTCCCTGCTCACTCTCTTGTTTTTGTCCAATACTTAATTAGACACTTTTAAACAAGTTGAAAATCCATTTAAAATGAATACAGCCAAACATAGCAGGGAGTACTACAGTATTGCTGCTTACTGTACTGTACTCATTAGAATTGCAGCAAATCATCTTCTAAAGTATACAGTGGTTTGCAAAAGTATTCATACCCCTTGAACTTTTCCATATTTTGTCACATTACAACCACAAACATAAATATATTTCACTGGAATTTAATG